ATGACCCTCGTAGAAAGTAAAATTTCTCGCCGATGGTGTGATACGTTTTAGGATTCCTAACTGTTAGGTTAGGTTAGGTTTTAATACAGAATATGTTATCGGCATGTCACTATTCAAATTTCGGAGGCTATGTTGCAATCACATCAAAATACTTAGAGCGGGTGCCAAAGTTTTATTTTCCACTTAAAAAATCACCACACACAACTTAATGTGCCCCTCCCTGCGCTGACTTCGTGTATCAAAGCGATGTCTTTTATTGAATGTCTTTAGTGCCCCTGGATGAATCAAGGGAAAACTAGAATATACATACGCAATTCGAAGAAGAAAACGAACACACAAAGAGTTTAACAGTTTTTATATTAAACATTATTCACATTTCTTACTAGGTCAGTTTCTATGTTTCTTGAAGTTAGAATTCTGAAAGGAACAGAAAGTTTTCGAAAACTGAATCTGTGTCCTTCCAGTCGATTCAACTCGAGAACCACTGAATGGATAGAGATGAAATTTGGTACGAGGATATCCAGATGTACGACTTTGAGGTCGTGGAGAATGGGCGGGAATCGGCCTAAATGTTCGTGTACGTAAATATTGTTTTTGTTAGAACAGGTTGGGACACTTTACTTTCGGTTATATTAAGTTAGGTTAGGTTACGTCACATCCATTACGTTAGGTTCGGTTAGGTTAAGGAAATTCAGGTTTAAATATGAATTTTTTTAATTTTGAATGTGGGTATTGTGAAATTTTTAATTGTGAATTTTTATATTTCGAAAAATTCTGAAAATTTTAAAATTGCGTGTGTTCACAAATTTTGGAAATTTAGAAGATTTAGAAAATGTCAAACTATGTAAATTTATTTCGCGGGATAAGGCAGACGTTATAGTACTAAATACCGAGTGACCACCGGTATAAGTGGTCTCCCTCCACCAAGTGCCAACAGCCTCTTCGGAGGGTGGATGAGTGGGTGGAGGTTCAGGGCACCCTCATGCCCTTCGGGTGAGAAATCATCCCTAAAGGCGGATGAACCCGGATGGGTCAACCACATAGGATGCTGTAGGCAAGGGGAATCCACCGCATTAAACATCATCAGGATTTACCGAGTATCAGCAGTTCAGGAGAAAAATGAGCCGTACTCTTTGTGAAATATTCCGGAGGTAAAATAGTCCCTCAAACGGATATCCGAGTGGGGACTGCAGGAGACTTCGCTTTGAAAAAGAAGAAGAACTGTAAAAGACGAATTGGAACATAGAATGTTAGGACACTAGACATAGCAGTGTTGGCTGAGAGTGAGTAAGACCTGGTAGCGACCCTGGCGGAGAAGGTGAGCACCAACTTGAACATCTTCAAAGAGAAGACTAAAACACGGCACGCAGGCGCATTGCTCACTGGGCAGCGAGCGGCTGGAGAACGAGAGTCCTTCACGTGTATCTTGGATGCAGTTATCATCAGATGGAAGGCAAAAAGCGAAAGTTATAAGCCGCATTAATTAAGCGAAGCTCGCCTTAAGCAAAAAGCACAACCTTTTCACCTCTAACAGCATTGATAAACACATCTGGTAAAGACATTTGTATGGAGTGTATTATTATATGGAAGTGAGACCTGGACAGTCGGGGAGGCAGAGAAGACGAGAATAGTGGCATTTTAAATGTGGTGCTACCGTAGAATATTGAAAATCCCCTGGGCGGACAGAGTGTCAAACGAAGAAGTGCTGCTGAGGATTGAGGAGGAGAGGCCGTGCCTACGATACACGATCCTTGAAGGTGCTGAAGAGGGAAAGAACGCTAGGGGCACACCGAGGTTAACATATATATATTTTTAGAGCTTTTTATTAAAACGACATGTTTCGACGGGTAATACCGTCGTCTTCAGGTTTTTATCAATTTAAAATATTTTAAAAACTATTAGATATTTGATGCAATATATTATAATGATCCGTAGTTCTGTTTGTAGCTTTCCATTTTCATGGTAAGTTGCTTATTGTAGTCAGACGTTATATTTATCTGTGGAATTAATGTTTAATTATTTTCTTGGAATGAGTATGAATTGACATAGGAAATAAATAAATAATCGTATAAATATATATTAAAAATAGTATACGAGGAACATACCAAGAGATATTATATAATTTTACAACACCAATAAACTTCAAACGTTTGTGTATAGACTGTACAAAATAAATATATATATATATTAATCAGTTAATGGAGGACACCGGCTGCCCCTCCTTTACAGCATTGAAGAGACTTGCTGAAGATCGAGAAGCTTGGAGAGCTGATGCCAACCAATCCTACAAATAGGATTGATTATAAAAGAAGAATAATAGTACTAAATGCGTGGTCCAAAGAACGCATGAGGATCTAATGCGTATTCCGGTACGAAATACACTTTCCGATCTTGTTGAAACAGTGATATATATGTCACTGTTGCCTTTGATACTGCTGTTTCATTTGTTATTCCCTTGGTTTGCCTGCTGACGTCATAGCCCGTGATGCGACGTGGAAGTTACGTGAAGAACTCCTTTTGAATTTCATTTTACTCCAAACTGTTTCTGTGTTGTCACTAAGTCTTCAGTGTCAAGTTATAATGTACAGCTGGAAGAAAACACATGACCTTGAAACTCGAAATACGTTGTCACTTGATGATTGTTTGCAAATGCCGATAGACTAACTTCCTGTGACATTCCGTGGAATGAACTAAGTTCTTGGCAACACAAACACCCATACTAAGAACATATGTATCAAGACCACTTGGTGAAAAATATATAGAATGTCCATAACTGATTACCCTGATCAGAGTATGCTATAATTTTTTAATGATGAATCCAACATCCGTCTTCTTTTTACAGGTAAGCACGTATAGACATTTTAAGAGCCACTACGAGTGCACATGAAGAAGTTTATCAATAATGTAAGAAAACTTTGTATATTTATAGTCCGCGACTGTAATCTTGAGACTTGCGGGGTGAGGAAGTGGGGTGAAGGAGGAAGGACTTCCTGCATTCCTTGCAAGTCTCAAGATTACAGTCGCGTACTGTATCTACTTCTGTTTAAAACTGTTTGTGATTACCAGTGATTATTAAAAAAATATAGCATACTATAATCAGGGTAATCATTTATGAGCATTCTGTATATAAAAGTACACTGTTACCACCATAACTTTCCATACTCTGTTCTCTGTTGCAGTACAAATTACACTAAACTTAGTGTTTACGTCGTGAGAAAGGAACTGGCTGTTTTTTAGCCACGATATCGACACAGAGCACAACTCAACTATTCGTCAGTACCTGTTAATACCGATAGAGGCGCGTACTCCCTGCCTGCCACTTCCTGTCAAGTTCATATTTCGTCCACTGCAGATTTGTGCGTGTGTGCGCGCGAAGCGAAGGGACCTATACCACATCAGTTATCGGCCTGTAGGACTGAATGACAGAGCAACTAATTTTCAAGGATGAAATGAAAAGGATCCAGAAGGAAACAATCATGGAAATTTTAAATAAATGACAATCTGAGCGTCCGTACCTAGGAACATTAAAAAAACCCGATGAAATCTGACTGTTGTCGGCTTCTAGGGGAGTAAGAAACAAGACTTTTCTAACACAAAACGGGAGAATCATTCACTCAGCCATGAAGCCTTTTTGGGTCATGGATTATTTAATGTGGCTGCTCAAACTGCACGAATAATATTGCTTTAACTGATGGTGAGTAGGTAAGGATTTTAAAGAATACGGTAGTGACCAATTTCAACGGAGTATATGTCAGTCATTACAGGAAACTGTAAGTATTGACATCAATTTAATTTAATTGAAATAGTATACCAAGTACTTACAACAAATCAGAATTTTGAACAGCAGACAAGGAAAATAAACATTTTCTCTTTTTATGGACGTTCTAGAAAGAATTTTATATTTTTTTCTGTCTCAGATCTAAATCTGTACCAATTCTCACGTTTTTCCAGTTCTTTTAGTTTACCGGTATATAATATCAAAAATTAACCACCTAGTTCACCCACACAAACACTTTCTTGCGGTCTTTGTTTCCAAATACTTGCAGCATTTTTGTGTCTGATCTCAAACACTGCTCGATATGCCTTCATCACAACCACAGCGCACGCATGTTGTAATTTCACAGAAAGCTTGGCGTATTGGAGCGAAATTTTATAAAAGAAGTCTGCAGCGAAGGTCGAGTTTTGTTTTTGAACAGTGTCTACTACGCTCAAATCTCGGGAGAGAGGGGAGACGCCAGTTACAAGCCGAAGTGGGATACACGTTCAATTCAGTTTTTAAATATCGTGTATACTAATTGAAACGCGAAGAAACATGTTTGTGCAGCCCTTCAAAGCCCAGTGATGCCATCTGTCTTAGTTTGTAACTCTTCATTCTGCCGACAGGGTTTCGTTCGATTCTCACTAAAAGAACCTGGCTAGGGACCCACTGGCGCGACTAGCCGAGTGCGGCTAGCCGCGCGCGGTTTTATTAACTCGCGACTACGCGCGGCAAGCATTTATCAGTATCTAAATGGAGGTTTAAGAGATAGCAGCCCCACTGTTCTGTCATGTCCGTCGCAAAATCGACGATACTGGATACATCCCATGTTCTTGGAACGTTCCACAAAAAGTTCATTCCATTTGCTGTACGATGATTTACGCAAACACGACGAGAAGTTTTTCAACTACACAAGAATGAGTGTGAAATCGTTCGATCAACTGTTACAACTGATCAGGGAGGAAATAGGAGGAACGGATACAAATTTTCGCCAGGGAATACGCCCTGAAAAAAAACAACTGATGTTCACTTTAAGGTATGCAAAATTTATTTCAGTTATTACACGTCAATTGTTAATTATTTAGTTAAATAACTCCACATAGTCTGAACCCTGTGACAGTTTCCGGCGATACAGCAGAATGCTCCAAGGAGTGGTCTGATGTTGACGGCCTGGATGGTGCGATGAGGTGGGGGTAGCAGATTTGTCGAATGCAGTCCGTGAGTTGTATGCGGAGAAAACAGGTTATGGTCGATAACTCTGAATCAACTTGATCAGTTCAATTTTCGCCGTACTTTTGGAGTAGTCTGGTATTTTTTTGAAGTCATCCAGAAGTGACAACAAAAATAATTTATCAGAGTCATGGTGTTCGCTCTCTATGCAAATGGGTTTATACCCGGTGGCAGTGTGAATAACCATTTCCAAACCAACGTAATCTTCAGTGCTTGTTTTCTTTGGAGGGGGGCGGTAGGTTTGGGACGATGGAGTATCCGACGTTTCTGCTACCACCTTCAGAAAGTGAAGCTGCTGAAAATATATGTACGAATTCTTTTTGGGGGCTGCGGCACCAATTCGTATGTTCTTTAACCGTCTTAATTCTCGGAAATAACTGTCTCTGAGGTTCTTCCATTTCTTTTGTAGCTGTACACCTGAAAATAACGAAAAACATATTTTATTTTATTGACGTAAATACGTCTATATTTTAGGATCAGTGTCATTCGGCAAAAATGTGTTACGAAAACGTGAAACGAAAAAGTGTAACTGCATTGTTATGTTACCTTGGAAACTTCAACTTTTTACTCGGCATTGTTGTTACCTATAAAACATTTCATTACATTGCTGATGGCACGTCTTATATTTGGTTCCGTATTTTTCCGGTGGAGTGCGTCTGTGTGTTTGTATGTCGTGTCCTTGAGTAAATGTGAGGTAAAATTATCGATATATTTTGTCGACATTTGACATAGGACACCAATATGTTACCACAAGTTTCACGTGTGCCCCGAATTCCGCGCCCACCAAGCATACTCAGCATTTACCTAGGAAACGTTACATTACATTTCATTACATTACTTTACATTACATTCAGCTACCACAGACCCATCTTAAGCGTAACTAATTCAAGTTAAATAAGCAAAGTCTTAATCAAAATTTACCCAATTGTAAAGCATGTATAAAGGAAATATTTAGAATAAAGCCAATATATAAACTTCCTTTCCGTAAAGACGTATTTACGTCAAATTCTCCGGAACCGTGGTTCCACTGACAACTTTTTATTTTCAGGTATCTAGCCACGGGATGCAGTTTAGCTGAGTTTTCCCATAATTTTAGACTTGGAAAGACTACTGTCAGAACAATAATACGACAGGTTTGTTCTGCCATATGGACCAAGGTGAAAGAAGTGTGTTTACGGGAACCTACAGAGGAGGAATGGAAAAATATTGAGGAAACGTTCCAAAAACAAATATAGGTGCTGTTGACGGGAAACATATCAGAGTGAATCGGCCACCTCACAGCGGATTATTGTATTTTAACTACAAGAGATATTTTTCTATTGTGTTCCTTGCAGATTACAAGTTCATCAGAATTGATGTTGGATTCCGCTATTTATCACAAACTTATAAACAAGGAACTGCAAATCCCAGATAAGTGTCCAATATCTACAACTAATACTACGCCTACGCCTTGGTGACGAGGCATTTCCTCTCTCGGAAAACCTGATGCGTCCTTATCCCGGCAACAATTTAAGCCTCGAGAAGGAAATCTTCAACTATAGGCTAAGCCGAGCTCGAAGGGCATTTTCCATCGCCCATTGGACGTAAATATTGATGTTGCAATCGATATCGTGAAGGCATGTTGTGTTTTACATGACTTTGTTAGCACCAGAGATGGCATCGGATATGAAGACACTTTGCGTTCTTTTCCAACATCACATGAGACGTCACGAGATCACACAAGAAATACAAGACGTCCAGTATCTTGTCGAGATATGTTTACGCAGTGAAGGCCAGGTCCCATGGCAAAACAAATGCATTTAACTAATTTACATGTAGAAATCCACGTACATATACACCTGAAAATACATATATAAATAGTTTGTAACTACTTACCAAGTTGTTTCTTTTCTAACACATCCTGTTCCTCCCCTCCGAATCTCTGCACTATTTCTTCCCACAGTTTTTTTCTTATATTTTTATCACTATATTCATTCAAACCGCTGTTCCACAGTGCTGGTCGTTGTTCAATTTCCATAATGAACAAATCTGTGTCAAAAGATTTCTCGGACATCGCCATATCGAATACACGCAACTCCCGCGTGCGACCTGCAGCGTCACTGAGTTCGCTGCGGTTAAATTCGTTACTTTTATAGCCGCGCGCGACAGCTCTGCCGCCTGTGTTCCGCGTTCCTAAACTTAACCGCGCGCGACTCGGCAGCCGCGCCGCGTCAGTGGGTTTACACCTATAAAAAGCAATACAAATAACAACCGCGCGCGACAACACTCGACACGCCGCACGCGGCTAGTCGCGCCAGTGGCTCCTAGCCTAATATACGGATGCCCTGTGCATTTTATGTGCGTGTATCATAAACATCGAAGGAAAACTCTGAATGCGAAAACAGCGTGGTGTTCATTTCCAAATATCCACAATCAGATTCCATCAAAACACTATTATTGGCCTGGCCTGATTAAAACATCGCTTCGTAACAAATACATAAATATGTACTTTTCTGTAATATAAAATAGTAACGTAGCGTTATTTACCTGTGGCTTATTCGACGACACTGTCAGTATCTCAGATTGACTTGCGGGATGATTTATGAATCGGAAAGGATAACGAAGGTAGCGGTTATACTGCGTTCCTACGTTTTTGGCCACTGAACTTTGTGAATTGGAACCTCGGAGCGAGTCACTTACCATAAGTTTGCTGGAAGGGATGGCAGCAGGCCGCGTACAGTACACTCCAAATAAAATATCACCACGGTATGTAACACAGGAAAGTCGATTTCACTGCACTACACATCACTAGAAAATTAACACTGCAGAGATTATTAGATAATAAATTTGTTCTAGTTTCTCCACATGCTGACATACATTCTCCCATTCCTCTTGCCCAATTTCTTCGAATCTCTGGCGACACAGATTCTCGACATCCTTTATTTTCAATGACGTGTTCTTGCTTGCAACCCGTTATTTTATATTGTCTGCCAAAATCTGATCAATCACATAACATTTGTGCTTTGACTTATTTAATTTGATTAAATCGTACAGTTGAGCTTTGAACACGTTGTCACAAAATGGGATGTTCATTTCCAATAGCCAGGCTTTCATTTCGTCCATCTTTGATTAAGACCTCGGTGGTTTGTCTGTCTGAGTGTTGTGATACGAGGCGTTGTCAATGACCAGAAAGGAGAATGCATGCTGTTAACACAGCACAGTCGCAAGACAACGTCAGGCTTCCACACTGATGCACTGACACAGATTGTACTGACCGACGGAAACTCCTTCCTTCACTGAGTGGTCCGCATACTGGGCTGTCCCTACAAGGTCAGCGGCCATAAGGGGTGGATCCAGTTCTAGAACCTGTGACATTTGCCTGTAGGCAGTGCGGAAAGCAACGAAATGTCGGAACTCCACGTCTTCAGAAAGAAATTTGAACTCCAAACTTCCATAACACGAACTCGGCCCTTATTCCTATTGCACTGGAGGTTGAGTCTGGACGTGGTGGCAAATCAGGACACCAGATCCAGCTTTGAATCGAATCAAGACTTACGAAGGCTCGTATTAGTTGCACGAAGAAAATGTTTACACTAATGCAGAGCGAGACCTCTGCCATTTATCACAGCAACTATTTTTGTAACAAGCTGATAGAAATTAAAGCAAGCTGGTAGCAGCCTCATTCATAGTCTAATAAATGTGTTTAAAGTAATACTAAAAATTGATGCACTAAATAGAAATAAAATGTTCATTTAAGGTAAACGCTGTCCTGATCTAAACTTCATGAACTTGCTCATTTCATACCAAGTCAAATAAAAATAAATTAAGTTTCAACTATACCATTATTAATTTGCATTGTTTTCATTTTCAAGTAGACCTGCAAGCAAAGGTTTCCCGAGAGTTTCAACTTTTGTTGTGACAAAATCCCTAGATATGAATTAGTGAATTTCAGCAATTTTTAGCATGCGGTAGGCAATTTTCTTCCACAATATCATTATTTAAAAAGTCAGAAACACAAAATTTTGTGTCCAGCATTAATTTTTCTCAAGAACTCGATTGGTGCAACGTTTATACATACATCTGCAATAGTTTTGAAGTTATGACCTTCGAAGAAGCCTTTTTTTTAAAAACTGTATAACCGCCCACCTCTATTCGCACTTGTATCCCGACTAGCTGAGAGGTGCGATCGGCACAGTTTGTTATAGGATCTATTACTCAAAGAATATATGTGTGATGGGAACTTGCGTGTGGAATGATGCAACCATGTCACAACGTCTGCTCCAGACCGTGTCGGAAGCTGAAGTCCCTTGATACTTGCCAACGTGAGAGAACCGGACTTCCCAAGTAAAAAAATTTGTTCCTTCCCACAAGCTATTTCCTTTCTGACCATTGTCAAAAAGACGATCAACACGTGTCTGCGTTTATGGGGTGGGGGATAGGTTGTTCATGTTTTATATTGAAAGAAATCATTCTGCCAGGCACTGAAACTGTTATTTTACTTGACTTTTCTAAGAGCAGCTCATTTTTATGTCAATTTGGAAAGAAAACAAGAGATCAACTAGAAAACTGATCTGGCCACTCACTTTCCAGCCTTCAATACTTTATTGTCACACATCAGGGGCAGAAAATGGCATAAAACAAGTGACCGTCTTGAGCAGACAGCAACTATGGTCCTCTCTTTTGGAAGTAACATTATACACCGACTGGTTTCCGATGTTTTGCCACGTGTAACAGATGTACATTATTTCTGTGATGGTATGAGACCACAATACAAGAACTGTAAAAACTTCTTACACTGAAGTTGTCATAAAGAAGATTTTCACGTAACTGCAGAATGGTGGAACAGTAAAGACACCAAATTTTATATTTCTGACTTTTTAAATAATGGAGATATTTATATATTTATAAAAAAAAGGCTGCAACATCTTAAAAACTGCCGAACTTCATTAACTGATACCTTCGAATTTAGTCACAAAACAAAACTGAAACATTGGGAAAACTTTTACTTCATGGATATCCACTTGCAAAATAAAAATCACAAAAATTGGTGATGACATGATTGGTGGTACCGTTTGATTAAATGTCGAATGACCCAAATAACTACTTACCAATGCCAGGAAAGACAAAATTTTGCATTCATATTACATTTGTTAAGATCAGATGTTGGCAGAAGAATGGCAAAAGGTAAATTTATAGATCTTCCAAAAGCACATTAAAAATCACCATGGTATGGTACTTTACAACCCCCCCCCCCCCCCTTCACCCATAAAAGCCCTTCACTGTACATCTCTAAATGTTATTAATGACGAATTACTAATTTCAATTTTTTGGACTTTTTCAATCACCATTATTCGTCCTAAAAAAACACTGTTTCAGGAGATGGCTCTTCCCCCTTCCTTCTCCTTGATCTGATCATCCTAAATGTGTTTGGTGAAGAGTACAATTTACAAAGCTACCCACTACGCCATTTCCTCCAGCCTCCTTTGGTCCAAACACTCATAAACCCCCAATCTGCGTTCTTCTCGAAACGTAAGACATAAACGTTCATCTCCATACAAAACAAAAGGGTAAAAATATAATTTCTTACATTTTCATATTCAGATTTGTAAATAGCAGCCAGGAAAACAAAATTATAAACTGTAAGTTGCTAGCAAGAAGCATTGTATAATTTAAACTGCTCTTACTAATTACAATTTTGATTTGTTATCAGCATTCCCAAATATTAGAAATTTGCCACATTTTTAAATTATTTTATTTTGTCTTGCACGAACACCTACTTCACTTTTTTCCTTGTTTACTTAGTGACTAACTTCCTTATTAACATCGACATACATAAGAAGCTCATCTGTCTCATTCAATTTCAATGTTTCTTGACCCTTCTTCTTCTTCTTGTAGCGTTATAACCCCATGTGGGTCTTAGCTTGTTCCACGAGTTTTTTCCATTCTGTCCTATCATTCACAATTCTTCTCCATCCCCTTACTCCCATCGTCCTCACATCCTCCTCCACGTCGTCTACCCATCATTTCTGTGGTCTCCCTCTCATCCTTCTTCCCATCGGCCTCCATTCCATCACTCTTCTAGTTACCGTTTCCTTCCATTCTTGCAACATGGCCAAGCCAGGCTAACCTTTTGTTTCTTGACGCTTACTGAGAGCATATTCTACAGCAATGAGAAAAATAATGGTGATAAAAATTTCCTTGTTCCAGACCATTCTGAATAGGAGATTAGAAATAGTGTCCCACAACAGGATGTCCATAGCCTAACTATGTGCTCTTGGGATCATTTTGAGTCAAAAAGTTCAAATAAACGTCGGTCCGACCGCAACGGTTTGTCAAGAAAATGCTCCGCACTCACTATGTATTGGCTGCGTTTCAGAAATTAGTTCACTAAGCCGCACGTAGACAAGACACAGGGCAGTCAGTGCTTCAAGACAATGTGACACCTCAGAGCTACTTGCGTTTCCTACAGGAAGAGCTGTGGCTGCAGCGAGATGGCGCACCTCCTCATTTTGGTAGGCAGGTGACTGAATTTCTGAATCGACAGTTTCCATACCGTTGGATTGATCGATGTGGTCCAGTTGCATGGCCAGCAAGATCACCAATCACCGGATCTGTTGCCTTTGGATCACTTTCTCTGGAGTCACATGAAATCTCTGGTGTATGCCGTCAAGTCAAACAGTAGGGCTGAGCCGCTGAATCAAATATTGGACTCCAGTGCTAATATCAGAAATGATCATGTCTCTGTGAAGAGGGCTCTTATTTCAATTACACAAAGGGCTCAACTGTGCATCAACAGTCAGGGTGGCCATTTCGAGTCACATAAATAACGTAAAAAATAAAAATGCAATTTAGAGTATAGTCTAAACTTAACAACAATGTAACCTAAAAATATATGGAAATAATGTAAAAGTTACAAATGCAATAAAATACCCATTGTCATTTTCTTGACAAACTGTTGCAGATTGGACCCATGTTTATTTGAACTTTTCAACTCAAAATGATCTGTCCCAAGAGCATGTGTTAAGCTATGGATATCCTGTTGCAGGAAACCCTCTGTATATACCTATTTGAGCCAAACTAAAAGTTTAATTTTAACACATTTTAATTAGACTGGTTTTACAGGCACACCAAATTCAATGAGAATTTTGTATAATACTTCTCTCTTAACTAAATCATGTCTTCCTGAAGTCTACAAATAGCCGAAATACTGTCCTACTCTACTCTCACATGTTCTCCAGTATCTGACAAAACAAGAAAAACTGATCAGTAGTTAATTACATCAGAATCTAAATTGATAATCCCCAGTAATTTTGTCCACATATGAACTTAACCTCACCAGAAGAATGATGGATTAAATTCTGTATGCAATTGATGACAATGATACTCCTAGATAAGCTACTTCTCAGCTTTTATCACCCCTATTATAAACAGGTACAATAACTGAGTCCTTTCACAGAACAGGCAATTCTTCCTTATTACAAATAGAATTAATTCATTTGTAGTTATCAGAAGTCAGAACACACTGTCTTATAGGTAATTCAGTGCAACATAAAAGTTGAATTTTGGTACTCACTGAAGTGGAGAACTCAAGGTCATAGCTCATGTCCCACTGAACTAACTGTACCTCCTGCTTGCTTCAGTTCTGTTGGAATGTGAGCAACTGGTGATTTATAAGTTTTCAACTTTTCAATAGCAATGTGTACCTGAAAACAGGCTCAGAAACTAAAGTCACAGCTGCATGCATGTAACTATTTCTACTTCACTCTAAAATTACTGTTTCATTCTGTAGCTTTGGTGATCAATTTAACAATAAAATATATAACACCCCAAAGTAAACTATATAACATCCTCAGAGGTAATGGCTGTACTGCAGGCACTGGGCAATAATTTCGTAAAAGTATTGATAAGAACGCATCTTGAAGTGTTATACGACTATTTGCAAACTGATCCTAACAACTCAGTTAAAATTCGAACTTGGTTGTAAATTCATTGTACTTAACACGCTTGTTAGAACAGCTACTGAAAATGTGTTCATAATATTTAAACATATTACATATCATAAATTATCTGACATGACATAAACATCCGTTTAAATTACCTCTACAGCTGAGCACAGGTTCATACACGGATATCGCAGTGGAGAATAAATTAAACCACCATTAAAAAAATCTTCTGTATTTCATATATAAAAGCATAAAATATAAATCTCATAAAAAGATACAACATCTGGAAAATTGTATTTCCTATTAAAACAATGACTAGCTGGAGGGAACATCATATAAAATGGAAATTAATTCCACCTTAACCAGGAACCACAATATCAAGGAAAGCAGAGAAACAAAATCAAAATGGAACTTGTAGAACATCATCTCCTGTTATATGGCAACCAAAGTTTCTGAAAATATTTTCAACCAAACCAATTCCTGCAGTTCTCAACAAAACCGCCGATATTTTCACAAAAAGTCACAAAGATGGAAATAAAATACAAACATCTAACCTTATCATACTGAAGTTCCTGATCAATACATCGATATAGGCAAATTCGATTCTACAGCAACTTCATAAATCGATTACCTATTATGCTGCCGCCTATTGTAAATGCAAGGAACTACCTTAACACTATGATACCGCTTCGTGTTATAGGTAGTTTTGAAAGCAAGTAATCTTACCAACTTAAGAAATACAAGGTAATCGCATTAGTTTCGCTGTCCATTGTCGTGGTTTACAGATTGGCGACGTCTAAAACCACAATTCCAAAACTTCATACGATTCAAGTTCACAAATTAAACTATTCTTCACGACTTAATAACACTACGTATGTCGAAAATCACTACACGTTCACTACCAAAATACAAGTAACCCGCGAATCCACCTAAAAATATTTTAAAATGTCGTCAATTACCAAATTACGTGACTAACACAATATCCAATACGAAAATAGCACCATGAAAACCCAATTTCAATCATTTATAATTAGAGATAATTGTTTTTCCTCTTATTTCTCACAAGAGAAAGTTATCAGGGGGGAAGCCATTATCTAAATTTCATAAATACAAAAGTGTGGGTATACATACATAAAATCCTGTTAACCGTCCAACCTTCATCCGCACTGTATAAATTTTGTTGGGAAAATATACATGTACGGTGTTCAACTGCAAATTCAGTCAGAAAACCCCGACCAAGACAGTAGGTCAAAATAAAACTGTCCCAGACAGTACCACAGCTTTGTTCATTTATGTTGCATTAGTATGCTCTCAGAAGCCAAAGCGTAGGTACTTTAATCACAGCATATTTCTGGACATATAATGGAACTGGAGATCATAAGAGAGAAATTCCATATACTATGCACTTGCTTATTTTACCCAAATAAAATTGTGTTCTCCATTTATTGCTCTTGCACTGACAAATGCAAGTACAATATAATGCAATATAAATGAACAAAAATTAAACATTTTTCTTTTTGTAAGGGTAAATACTTAACCACACATTCTACAGAAGGTGTACATATACTCTACCATATGGGAAATATAATTACTCTGTAACAATATCTATCACACATTAACAACACATGTAAACATGTATTTATGTTATAAGCATTCTATGTCAATCAATTAAAACCTAAAAGCACGTGCAAACAGGAAGGTGCATAAAGAATGAAAAGACTAAGTTTAGATATATGGAAACTTGGAGACTGTAGGCAACTGGTGCCAACTATACATACGACAATTAGCATTAACTGAGCTTCAGACAGTCTTTCAAAAATCCGAATTACAATTTCTGTACATCTGGTTTTGCAAATTCCACTGGGTGAATCAAACTTCAATTCATTACAATATATCATACATAACATATGTAATTAGGATAAATGGTACGAATATGGCTCATCATGTGATTTGCTTATTGAAACAAATCTGGTGCATTTTGTTTGCAGATGGTTTTGGTGTACTTAATTAATAATTATAAAATCAGTGACAATACTCATAACTGACATCTCACCATGATGTTCCACATACTTCCATTCAAACACAAAATTTCATGTTGATATTATTGTATATGGTCTATCATTAAACCATAACACCTATATGGACTGCAAACAATAAAATAGCAATGACTGAACCCAACCATGTTTCATTATTATGTGTTAAGATTACTTAAATTTTTGCTGAATTATCTGATTAACCATCACATTAAAGTTTTGAAGCCTCAACCTGAAATAAGTTCATTCCATAAAGGAAATTACACCTGACACTGTTCAAGCACAAAACACAAATTACTGAAGATCAGACATGTGCATGTGTGTACAACTTATGTAAGCTATGCAGTAATAGTTCAAAATTTTGCAAAGTATGGGTTCATTCAACTGCATACATCTTCCTTGATAAACATCATAACAGGATCTTCTTTAAGATTTACTGTTCCCAGCAAAAAGAAATACAAACCATTTGTGTTGTACATAACTTTGAAGATTGCCTATTAATTTTTGTCTTCCAATACAAATACAAGATAAACTGAAAGTATTTCTCAAAATTAAAGATCTCATAATAATTTTCTGGATGTAGAAAAGAAAAGTTACATGTATATCACTTTGAATTTCTAATTCATCTCCAATTCAAAAAATTAATTATTGGCAGCCATGTATTTACCCCTGTAAAATTCACCATCCACCAAAATGGCCATGATTTCCCCTGAAAGGCCTGAAAACTCCTCTATGTCCTCTACCAAAAGGCCTATCAAGAGGAGGTCGGAAGGGAAATCGGACAGGAGGACCACCGCGCATGGGTCCATTCCACATTGGCCTGGACCTGGGAATAAATCCACCACGTGGGAAGTTATTGAATGGACGACCTCGGCCTCTTTGACCCCTGTCCTGTTCCATTCTGCCCATATCAAGTTTTTCAAGTTCTGCTAGTTCATTATTCATCCAGTGTTCACTGCCATCTACCTCCAAATGTTTCTTCAGATGTTCATCTCCTTTTCTTGCAACAGGTTCAATTTCTGGGATACTGCTGACTTGTGTGACATTCTCTTCAGTTGCTATATCCTCATTATGATTTGGTGGGTCTTCAGTTGTTTCATCTGTACGAACATTCTCTGTAACACTACTACCAACGTTCACTTCAGCTGTTTCCTTTTCTGGATCTGGATCAGGAGTCCTCTGTCTCCCATCACTATTCACTTTTACTTCTGGTTTCTCCTGTTCTTTCAAAACAGGCTCTGATGTGGGTGAAGGTGAAGGTGGCAGTGACAGCAGAAGTGTTTCTGTAGTTACCTCCTCTTCCAAAGCAACTTCTTCACAAGACAATGTGTCTTGAATTTCAACGTGTGATTCTATTTCTGACTGAGGTTTTATTTCAACTGCAACATTAAAACTCTCTGACTGTGGTACAAGAACTATATGAGGGGGGAGAGGGGGAACAGGTGGTGGAGGAAACATCATGGAAGGTCTGAAACTCCTTGCCACACTAGGAGGAGGAAGCCTCTTTATTCCTTGGGGTGTCAACAGGAGTGGCATGCGAGGACGAGGTCCCATTCCACGAGGAGCATGTGTATTTCCTCCTATACCACTTATAGTTGGAATCTTTTGACAGCCATATACATGACTTCTTGACCTTACTCGGTCTTCTTTTACTTCATTCAGAGGTGAATTGGCTAAAATCTTTGAATGACTGTTTATGTTGAATGATATAACAGGTTTATTATTTTGAGATGTTTCAAAACTTTTATCTTTCTCAGTCACTACTTCTTTCTTCTCACTTGCAATTTCTTCAGCCATTTCTTCATCACTCATTTCCATATCCACACTTTCCACATTATCTTGGTTTTCATCTTGCTGCCTGCGACCAACAGAATGAGGCTGATGTAGTCTGTAATCCAGATCTCTCTGTTGCAAGATTTCTTTTTTGCTTAAATTGCTGATTATTGCCGTAGTACGATAATCTTGGTCACTGTGACACCAGTCCAAACGAGGAATCGGTGGAGGAGGCAATGCCGAATTATCACGTACAGGAGAACCAGTTAAACTAATAAGATTACGATGGTCCACATCTTTCTTACGAGGCATCAGCGGGCGATGGTCCATATCTTTTTTGGCCTTATTTGCTGGAGTTACAGGTGGAATCACACGGTGATCTGTATCCTTCAAATGTTTCACTGGGAGTGAAATCCGACAGTCAGTGTCTTTTGTGTGATTGATCTGTGGCAGTTGCACCAGAGTGCGGTGGTCTACATCTCCACTGCTGGACATCAACACAGAATCAACCACTGAATCATCATATTCGACCGGATCGCTGAAACCTTCCTTCTCATACAATGGTGGTGACTCTGGGGTGTCCAAGGTAAGTGGTGGTGCCTTATTCGGTGGCATGACAGGCATCCACTCAGTTGTTTTGTCATGTTCCTCTCTTTCCCAAGCAGAGGCAGTGTCACCCCATGTGGGAAACTTAGGAGGCAGTTTAGTATTCCAAGCATCTTCCTCCCGTTCCACTGATTGTTCATACTTGTATGATGGTTCTTCCAAAGGGAACAAATTTGGTGGCAATGGTGGTGGTTGCAAAGGGGTAGATGTTTGTCCAGGATAGTCATATTGGTCTGTTGTATTCAGTTCTGCGGTTGGACTGTAAATGGACTTTGAAGCAGTCTGCAGAAGTGTGCTCTGTGGAGGTGGATCCACATTAAGGCCTGGAATGATTGGACTGCCTCCCGATGGTATCAAAGACTTTAAGAACTCTGTGATGTTGAATCCCTCATCAGGCTTCGTTCTTGAATTTATTACTTCGATTGGTTTCCCCTTAAAAAGAAACAAAATTCCAAAGGTTTAGCAACAATATTAGTTTTAGAAATTAAAACTAAAACATTTAATATTATACATGAAACCAACCTCTGATGGTGATAATGTATTAAGCAATGGAACACCAACTGGATCATCTAATGCTGGCATAGGAGAAGGGGATAATAAGCCTTCTGTACTGGTTTCATTGAACAGGCTCTTCTGCAACACAGCACAGGGAAAAATAATGTTATCCAATTCAACAAGACATTTATGGAATTTAAATAGAAGTAATAATGGTTGTAGCCAAGAAAAATGCTATGGAGAAACTACCTAAATAACAAGGTACAGAAGATAGAAGTTGTGAAGTCGGTCAAAAAATGCTCAAATTTTTATGGAACTTGAGAATTTCCTGCTATGGTCATAAGAGGTTATCGCTAAATCACATCCTGAGAAGCTGAATGCAGTTCATATTCTCACATTCATTTCTTTAGGATCCATTTCAATATTCTCATGCACGTCCATTGGAACCCCAAGTGTCTCTTCCATCGATGTCTACCAATTCCCCCTTGAAGTCCCACTCATCACATCATTTGATTTGATCACCATAATAAGGTATACATAATGAGACAGAATTTATGCTCTTCACCAAATAAGATCATTCAAGACTTCTGAGATCATATAAAGATGCAGAAACCAGTGGAACAAACTGAAAGTTATGGACACCAAATTACAGGCAACTCTCGGTTTACGAACGAGTTCCGTTTCAAGACGTTGCTCATTACACGTTTTTGTTTGTTATGTGCATCTTGCATTCCTGAGATTTTACGATACATATAGTATATGTTAGCAGCTATTTTATAGCATTAAAACCATGTACTAAACATCGCAAGCAGGTGATGATCCTATTATATTATAATAGGGGCAATCACCAATTTATTTCCCACGAGAAAACATTCTACGCGGCGTGGCATGTAAACCAACATTTTTTTTACTGGCTATATTCGTTTTATTAACCAAGAACAGTTCAGTATAATTATCATATAATAATTTTCTGATAATTATTGTAATAAATACATTCTTTAAAAGTTTATTTATTTAAATCATGCAATTATGTTCACTATACATTTGGCATTTCGTTTTATAAGGAACTCTATCTATTGGTGACTTTAAGAAATTTTGAATGAATTGTGACGTTCGTTATAGCGAATGTTCGTAAATCGAACGCTCGTAAACCGAGAGTTGCTTGTACTGAAAAATACAACTGTTTGCTGCTCATTTTACTTGAATATGCTCTTCCAAATGCTCAAATGGAAAGATTGTGAATAATGAAGTAGGAAGGATGTGGAAATGGCCACAGCCTATTTTAAGATACTATTTAACAATGAAAAACCTCATTCAGAAAAGCTCACCTCTGGACCAAGAATCAAACCAAGGACATCTCAAAAATGAAGCAGAAATGCTAAACTTTCAACCATGAGGTTCATTGGAAAACAGAGTAATGTGGAAGCTCTTGATAAAAAGAACCTACAAATTTGGGGGGGGGAAGCTGCCCTCTGCATGAATAAAACCACAAAAAACCTAAGTGAAAATAGTCAGTCCTGATAAGAAATATGAAGTGGATGCCTCTCAATTGTGAGACAAATATGAGTGTCTGACTGAGAAATCCAGCTCTGTAAAACTCATTCATCACACAGGTAATTTGTTGGAATGAACACCATTTCATGTTACACATTAATTAACAGAGCACTGATTCAGAACAAAAATAAAGTTATATTTTATGACTCTATTCTCTACACAGTAAATAAAATTGAGCCTCATACCAAAACTGTCATGTGTCACATGTGAAATGAGACTAGATTGTTGGAATACAAGACGCCTTTTCTAAAGAACACAAAATCATAGCAGACCATGTAAGAGATGGAGTGACTAGCACACAATCAGGATTTTAATATAACAGGAGAAACAGGTAGATGATCAAAATGTGTATGTAATAGTAGTATTAAAAAGGATTTTAGAGAACTAGGCTATCAAAATGTGAAGTGGCTAAAAATGGCTCAGTATACAATCTTACAGCATTTTTGGTAATAGTGATGAATCTTCATGTCCAACAGCAACAGAAATTTCTCAAACAGAAACAACTACTAAAACTAATCAGGAAATATCAACGTCAGCTCGTATTAGGTTATGAATGGAATAATTTTCTGTTGAATTTCCACAGGCTTTTAGTCTACTTTAACATTAACAGTCAGATATCAATTTATTTTTATGATAAAGTATCATTTATAAGGCTAAATCAGATAAAACAAGTGTGAAGAGGACAGTAATTTTCGATAGCAGCAGGCAGAAGCAAGAAATATTCTTGACCACTTTTAAGTAATTATAAAAAATGGGCTATTAAATTCTCAAACTAAAGACAGTCAAATGCAATATTAAATTCAGATTTTCCAGGACTATTTATGGAAACAATATATTACAAGTGTAAAGTTAATATGACTGTTGAAACAAGGTTAATTTAAATTATGTAAATGTAGAAATTCTGTGTGATAAATGGCATACATACCCACTTGTATTTCTCAAGGTAAGATTTTTCTATATTAGTTTTAAATTTCTCTTGTCCCACTCCCATTATATCTACGCTACATTCTGTCTGATTAAGCTTTTCCTCAAGTTCACATTCACTCCACTGCCTCCCAGAAAAAGACTTAACAGATATTCAGTTCTAAAGGGTTTTGACGACGGTAGTTTACACTTAAAATTATTCACAGTCAGGTGAAGATGGAGACAGAACCAGCCTCCGAAACGTCGTGGTTTTAAGAAACAGACGATGGAAAAAGTCCTGACAATGAATAATTTTAAGTGTGAACAGAGATTCTACAGTAACTGGATGCAATGTACAAGTTATTTTGTAAAAATAAACAAACCTGTATATCAAATGGTAGACATGAGTTTCCCATGAAACTTGTGAAGCAATTGTCTAGCGTACTGCTGTGCTGCTGTTGTGGAGGTTCGTCTTGCAACACTGTTTTGATGGGACGTGCTTTTGAATTAAATGAATTAAAGAAAGCGTCACCAATAGATCCTGCAAAAGTATTAGTACAGAATATGTCAAAACACCAAAACATCATACACATTTTATATGCATAATAAAACATACATACACAGTAGCAGTCAATTACAAATATATCAGGTTTACTACAGGATTCTTTTATGAAAAAAATTCACCAATTTTAAAATATTCTATTACCAATTTGGATAAGCTATGTTGCTTGTAATTAGCATATTTTTATCTGCTATGTAACACAGAAAGATAATCCATTTTATAGCAGCCTCCAAATAAATAAGACAGTAATATAAAATAAGAACTTATATTTGGTAACCTATAAAGTCCCAGGACAGAAGCAATGGCATTGCAGCCAGTAGGCTGGACTCTGTTCATATGTATTGAGATTTGCACATCCATAAAAGCAGTATAACTGCTCAGTTGTCATCATTAGGTGTGATAGGTCCCACAGCAGAGCACATTGCATGGAAGGGTGTTAAGTACGGACATGGATCAGTTTGACCAGTAGACCAACATGAATTTTACCAGTGACTGGGAAGATTAGAGATGTCTAAATATAGTCCAATATTAAGAAGGCCAACAAAATGTGTGTTAGGAAAAATACACGCACTGCAACGGCATACACCTTTCTTCTCTCGTTTCTAATACTGTAAACCTGTTTCAATCTACTGGATATTTATGAAATCCCTATTCCTTGTAAAAACAATGAAGGGCCAGAATTACAACTGAGTATGGTCAGTGGGAAAGCCAGAAAGAAGAAGGATAGAGGCATTCGAAATGTGGTGCTATGGAAGGATGTTGAAAATTAAGTGACTGATAAAGTATGAAATGAGCTTGTCTTAGACAGGATAGGCGAAGGAAGAAGTCAATGGACAAATCTTATGAGAAGAAGGGATATGATGATGGGACACATTCTGAGGCACCCAGGATTGGTTAATTTGGTATTGGAAGGAACTGTTGAAGGGAAGAATTGTAGGGGGAGACAAAGATTGGAATATGTGACACAGATTTTTGAGGATGTGGGCTGTAAAAGGACCTGGTTGACTAGTTACCCTCTGATTTGGCTCCGGTTTTGTATAACGGCAATGGAACCTCCTCTGACTACCTGAGAAAAATATTAGGTGTTGACACTCCACCATCTCTTCAGAAAGCGGTTTTATTTTCCGCTTTGTTCACTGTTACTTCATATTCTCATAAGGGTAACATTTTCACATTGTTGACAATACCTCAGGTGGTGTCATGCTAGCTTATACCACGGCTGACCTTTGTTCCATTCCATTTATTCCTCCACGGTGACAAAGTCACCCATAAAGTTTATGTATGCAAGATGGGAAAACTCCACTTTGTTAGTAGCAACCCCAGCACAAGAAATTATAAAGATGTAATCAGTTGTCTGTTAGTCGGTCTGCCACCGTGAAAGAATGAAACATTTGTGTAAAAGGATGGCTGTTTTCTGGGTTCTAAAGCCATGTAAATGGTAGATATTTACTAACGTTTCAAAAGTCCTTGCTGCCTCCACCATCACCATCATGATGGAGGCAGCAACGACCTCTGAAATGTTGGTAAACACTTCTACCAGTCTACACAGCACTATAGCCCAGAAGACTCACCACTGTGAGAACCTCAAATCCTACTCTGAGGAAGAATTCTAAAGCTACTGGTCAGATTATCAATGAGTCATTCTGAGATGGTGATGTATTATAATAATTTAATTTTGGTCACAACATGTTGAGAAACCAACTACTCCTGTCACTTTAAAATGTGAATAAAGGAAGAAATAAGTAAATAAATGCAAAGACTTAAAACTATATTTAATTTGATAGCCTCCACAGCACAGCCTTGTTACACAGTGTGTGTGTGTGTGTGTGTGTGTATGCTATACTTTACAAGGATATGACAAAACAGTGAGGAAAGTACAAAATAAAACTGATTTACTAAAGACACAGTGGAGTGTCAACACCTAACATTTTGGCCAGGAAGCCAAAGGAGGGTCAACTACCACAGGGCAAAACTAGATCAAAATTAGAGGATAATAATTGACCAGGTCCCCTTGTTAGAGACCCCTACAGTGGCGGTAACCAACCCATTTAACCTTTTGTAGCAAAATAAATTTCAAATGGATTAAATCCTTCGGGTAGATGCAACCTAAGATGGTAACTTTATATATAAAAAAGAGAGAAAACAAAACAATGAAAAACATCTATCTAGGAAGTGCCTACAAAAGAAATTACATGAAAATTAAATTTACAGTTGAAAATAAAAGATACACTTAAAAGTCTAACCAGAATAATCTATAGGTACCTTGGTAAAATAATATCTGAAAAAAAAATTGAAATTATATAGAAAGTACTGGTTAAAACAACAATATATTATAATGGTGATTTCATGGGCATGTCACAGACAAATGAAGAATAGAAGCAGCAGAAATGATGACTCTCAGCTGGATACACATGAGTACACCATAAAGAAACAATGAAACATAATTTTCATATTGTAGTTCAGATGATTAAGGAAAAGACACACTGTACCAATATAATAAAGACAGGTAACCAGATACAGTAGGGCACCGCATATACGGCAGGTTAGGGACCATAAAGCGAAAATCGCTGTAAAGCGGATCTTTGTCTTTTTTCACTTGCAAATGCATATCAAAGCCTAATAAGAAGTTTACGCTATCATATAGTAAGTGCACAATAGCGCTAGGCCTAAGAAAACGATATGAAAGTAAAATGAATATCAGTAGTAGCCGTAAACAGACTGAATCAGCGACGAGAGAATGGCGCCGGACACACTTCTCTGACTCAGCTGTTTAGCGCGTGGGGCATATGCACGCAATTGAAAAGAGCTGTATTAGCGGATCGCCAAAAAGCGGGGCCCTACTGTACTGTATATGATTGGTCCAGGCAAAAGTATCCAACAAAATTTTAATGACAACAGTGAATTTCTTGAATTTGGAAACCAAATGGTAAAAGGGTCTTAATTGTTTATGTTTCTCATCTGTCAACTGTGCAGGTTATATACCATCAGATGACAGGAAAAGTGTTAATGATGTAGAGTGTATGTAAAAACCCTTATAAGAACCCATTATTTTCAGTGCTTTCTTAAACAATGTCATTTTAAGGTAAGTTACTATGTACGTAATAAACAAAATATCCCCCAAAAATTATGAACACACAAGTTAAATATTATGTTTACAAAACATATTTTTACAATTTCTAACCGAATGATATGAAGCTTTCATGGCAACTAAACTCAATAAAATCTTCTAGGGCGAACAGCCGCATCAAATGGTTGCATGAAGATACCGATGTTTCGGAAACCACCTCCGTCTCCATCATCAGGGTTCTGGTGTGCTGATCAGAACCATGATCATGGAGACGGAGGTGGTTCCCGAAACATTCATATCTTCGTGCAACCATTTGATGCGGCTGATTGCCCTAGAAGATTTTATTGAATTTATAACTTATTTAAACTGAGACATGTCAACACAAGTATAGAAAATCATGCTCAAACATCATGACAGCCAGGTGACATTTATGTACAACTTCAAATTCTTCTATGCAGACCAACAAAAATGCACTTTGTATTTGTATCTCAGGGAGCGAAGTTGAATGTTGCAGCATGTGGAAAAGATTAATCTTTCTTATGAACTAAAGTTTAATTTTGTATTTTACAGTAATGCACGGACATGCAGTCAAATGTAGCAGTAATAAGGTTAAGGTGCTATGTAAGACCGGCCTGAATGGACTGAGGGTAACTGCAAGAGACCTCAGACACAATACCAAATTTCTGGGCTGAGGTTCAAATATGACAAAGCAATACTCAGTGATAAAATGGTCTTAACAGAGAAAACATTAGACAGAAAAATATGATTATGAACTAAACCACAAAATATTAATGTCCTGAAAGTGAACACCTCTCAAGTAGGAAATTCATAAGACTGCATCATCTTTTCTCATTATATGACAATGAGTTTTCAACTACACAGATATGATGAAGACTCAAAAGGGTTTTGGAAGTGACCATGGCCAGTGCCCACAATTTGCACGAAGAAACTCAGGGAAAGGGGAGGGAAGGAAAAAAAAAGAGAGATAAAAGTTGTCAGGATAACTGACAGCCAAACCCAGGACCTCCTTCACGTGAAACATGTATGTTTACCACAACCATAAGTTTAATATGGAGACTGTATCATAATGTTTTAAAGATAAAATTTGACAAGATGTTTTGGAAATGAAAAGCAAATAATAGTGTCAAAACAAAACAAGGGCACAAAGTTCAAATAAGTATGAAAATTAAGTTTGAATAAACTCTCTCACGCAGCCTAGGTCTAAAAATGCTAATGATGCATTTATTCAGTGAAGTGTTGTAGAACATCGGCCATTAATCCCTTAATTGTTTGAGATATCTTGTACATCACTCCCACCTTCGTGTGGTTTGCATATCACATTAAGATGCGAATACTCTGTGTAGCAACGATGGGATTTCTGTTAAACTGTGTAGTCACTACCACATAAAAAACACGAGCGTGGCCTATAACAAGAATTTAATTTTAATGAACACTTTTTTATGCACTGAAAGTTTATTAATAAGAATACATTTCAGTTTCAACAAGAAGAGTACTTCTTCAAAATGTCCACTATAATGAGTGTTGTTATGTCTTACTTAGATTTGCACAAACATGTGGCAACATGGCTCAGCTAATTGCTATTGTTAATACAAAAATAATAGAGCATTCTCACATCCTGGTGTATTAGGAATGAGCATGGAGAAAGATACAATAAGAGCATCCAACACCAGTCACCTCAATACATCTGAACAAGGATAGCTGTTCCCCAAGATCACCCTTAAGTAGGTTCAACGCTATGTTGTGTGCATTGTCTGTTTTTAGGTGCATTAGAAACTGAAAGTTGCAAAAATGTGCCCATTAGCTTTGCCAAATGTCTGTCCACATGTCACAACTCAAGAATGGCCGCATGGATTTCCATGAAATTTGAATAAGAGATATTGCCCAATATTCTTAAGGCATGCAAATATTACAGTTCACTTGGAACAAATAAATACATTATTTATATTTCATTCATTAAAAATATGGCACACTGAAAAACGTCTGAAATAAAAGATCTAAATTTTAACCAGCTCAGTATTTTACAAACATCCCAGTTGTTTGAATGAGGGATTTTTGAGAAAATTAGAAAAAGTCTGATTTGAGCTTAATGCGAAGTACAAAGTATGTTGAATCAAAACAAACCAAAATTAAACCTGCCTGGTAACATTTGGTGCAATACTCCTAAAAAAATCATCTAAATCTGTTCAGTAGAGTCAGAGATGAACCATGCAGATTAATGGATACAATCTCTAATCTCCCCACTGCAGTTATTTTATACATATTGCACAATGAACACATTAAAATTATGATGCTGTTCTTCTGGGGTTCATTTCCATGTAGACTCCATCTTGAACCCTAGTAAGTTTCCCTTAAATGTTGGCATCCACTGATGAGTCTACACAGCACCAAAACCCAGAATAGCAGCATCATCCTCACCACCATGAAAACCTCAAGTCTCATGTAACGCATAAATCAATACTACTCTGATTAATAACAGTGGAGGATGATGCATACTGCCTCCTACTTTTGGTCTCTCATCTCTGTATCATTTTAACGGTCACCACCCACAGATATTACCCAATTACTCTACTCAAAACTGAATTTTTGTGAGATCAACCAGAAATGTGGGACAGTATGTGTAGTGTAATTGGTTGTCACAAAACTGCTAAACCAATGTTTCCTGAACTAAAATTTTGTTATTTAAACTTGACTGCTACTTGGGAAGAAAATGAATTTAAAATCTTGAAGTGGCTTATAATTGAAATTGTATTTTTTTTTACTTCTTAAATGTCAGGCGTAGCTTATATTAATAATACAGTAAGATTTTAAGAGGTGTTCCACTGTCATGAAGTGTTATCCATTAATGGAATGACTTGTCAACTCAACCTGTATTGTCACTTTCTTCTGGCAATTCAATATCTGAATCTGGTGATGGAGATGGAGCATTAACATCTGGAGATGGAACTGGACTGACCTCCTTCAGTGTTGGAATCAAATCATCAAGACGGCGCTTCAAATTCTTTACACGACTACCAAAGTTCCTGTAGGCCTGCAAAACAGGATTAATACATAATTTAATACGATAACAAATATGAACAATTAACAACCAAGATCTGACGTTGTGGGACCATGTGGTATCATGTGGTTATCAAGTTTTGGATGAATGTCACTGCCATCTTCATCAGTACTGATACCACTTTTGAGTTCCATGAAGATGGAGGCAACATGTTCTTCCTACATGTTGGTAATCACCTACAATACCATATGGTGTCAACCCAGAAGATCATGACTGACAATTAACAGCTATACAGACTGCAGCCTGATCTAGTAAACACTGATTACTGTATGTTTTTATCAAGACACATAAACTTTCATAGATAAATATGCAAGACTCATTTGCCAACTGCATCTTCCACAGGATTTAATTTAACAAAAGCTGCATATTTTAAGAATCCAATCATTCCACAAATTTTCATGTTTGCACAATGATGGACCTCACATGAAAAGGTAAACCAAGATCCATGCTGAACGTATAAATTTAAGACCATATGAATATCAGCCAATTCCTTCGAAGTTATGTTACACTTCATTCTCAGTGACAATGTAGTGAGCATAGCACATGCTTGGCAGGCAGCAATAAAATGTTGGCTAAATATGGAATGCCAGTCAGAAAAGCCGCTCTATGCACAGTTCAAAGATGTTTCCATTTACTGCAGCAGAATAAGATAGTCAGGAAATCAAACACATTTATGTATGGATACAGTAGCAGATGTTTTAAGCATTTTAATCAATAAACACAGAGATGATGATTACTTTTGATAAGTAGTATGCTACATAAAATTCTGTCCAACATGGAACCAATTCAATGAAGAAACATCGCTTATATAAAGGTTCTCATAAAAAACAATAGTTGCTTTTCAAATGTGTCTAAGACTTTGGTTATATACAATCCTTATGTTCAATTATCATGTATTGGGGGAAAGGGCAAGGCATATTCATGCACAGGATTGCCAGTAGCATGTACAATGTATTAAGGGAACACAAATCCACAGATAAGTTTAAATCTCTCAGTAGACACATATTATAAAATTACTAACAATACTGTCAATTTAGGAAAACATAATAATGAAAAAAGTGTATAGTTTGTACTTCAATAATACTATTACAGGAATTCAGTATTAAAGATTCAAACATGACAGCAAACTGGTCTGTTGTGCCAAGACATACAAGGTTACGATGTTTTGAGATGTTCTGCGTGAACCTCACTGTGATATAATGTAATACTAAACGTACCAGTGTCACCTTGTCACTCGCCATCATAGTGTACAGGCTCATTACACAGCTTCTTGCAACTTGGCTTTCTTACATGCATCTGCCTGCTCGATAATGTTTACACTCGCTCAATAAACAAATGTATTGTATGATTCCAACTTTTGAGTGACAGCCATGTCAGATATTTGGTGTTAACCGACGTTTTGGCAAACATTGCCGTCGCCACTTATGAGATGGCCTTCTGAAATTACTCCACCTCATCTGCCTTCAAACGGCAACTGCAATGTTTGTCAAAACGTTGATTAACACCAAATATCAAATGAGGCTCTCACCCAAAAGCCAAAGTGATATACTGTACTCAAGCTGTAAAAACAACAAACAATAACTCCACAGACATTGTACAATACAGTGAGTATAGCCAATCCTGAATGGTCAATTATTAGTTCCTCAAATTTCAACTCAAGGTTCTGATGACTAAGGAATATTAAAACCTATCAATATTGTTATCATACTCACATTGGCTACAACTTTTGCCTCTCCTTTTTGGGTTTCATAGAAGGAATCAGCATGTTCAAGCAACTCAATGAGAGCAGTCCTTTCTTTTATTTCCAGTTCTAAAGCTCTCACAAACCCTTGCATTTTGCTGACACCTTCATCAACTTCGGCAACTACGTCATCCCCTTGTCTCCTATCTGTAACATTACGGGGACCCGCAGTTTAATAATGCCACTGAAACTATTCACAGAAAACATTTCTTAACCCAAAATGTTCATGTAATACCTTTCAGATGACTACGTAGGGCATCTGCATCAGAAAATGATAGATGACTTTCGTTTAGCCTCTTCAATTTCAGATCAGTATCATCTTCCAACTTCTTACAGCTGCGAATCTTGGAAATCAGCATTGGAGGCTGAAAAACAGAACATGCTCAATTTCACCAACTTTTCTTAGCATTTCTACTGCCTAGTGTGTTAGTTTCAGATGTTATCCCTTTCTGTTTGTTTCTTGTTTTACAAAGTCTCTCCAAGAGAACATCAGAAAAACACAGATGTTCACAGGCTGATCCAACCATGAGAAACACACATATATCTTGAATGTGGATCCATTCACTTGGTAGCACTGTGTAGATCAACTCAATGTAAATCAAGCAAAATGTAGTTTGTTGCTAAACACTGGGGACATGAAGGAGTGAAGAAGAAAAGGCACAATGTATCAAGCAGTACAATAAAATAAAATTAATAATAATTATGCAATGCAAATATAATAATGTTTCTGAGCAACGCACATCCAATGTCCTCCATAAAGTGCTAGTACGTTACATGTGTGACTACAGGAAGTGCACAAAGTGTAAAGCACAGATAGGTTAGATTTATCTGTAATATATCACTAGTTTATGTTAACCCTTTATTTATATTATTCACTTCAACAGCCAAGCACTAACAACAATACAGGGAAATAAAAGTAAACATTACAATACAAAAACAAAGAACTAAATATATAAATATACAATATTAATAATGATGCTAATTCAATTCATTAATTTATTGCAAAATAATTAACAAGTAAATGAGCTAAATAATATTCCCAAGTAAAATAATAATTAAATAAAATCAGTTTGATTTTAAACAAAACATATATAACATACAAAATAAAATATTATACTAAATAAACAATAAAAAAGAACAATGATTATTGTTTAAAAAGCTGACTGACATCAGTAAGCAAAACACGATCTTTGTTAAAGATGTCAATGCTCCTACAGACTGCATTGGCAGCAGAAACATATCTGGCAGAGGGACTGTCCTTGAAATTACATTGTACGGTAAAGGTAGAGTAGTCTCTGATAGACCTAGTGGGTATGCGGACACTAACTGTATCAAAAACAGATGAGCAACTAATTTTGCCTTTAAGAACACTAACGAGGAAAAGTGCATCCGGAATACTCCTCCTTAAATGCAGCGATAAGAAATTTAGTCTGACTAAAATATCGTCATAGTTATTGGCACACACGCTATTAGAAAAAGATTATGATATTTTTATAAATATAAGTATGAATTATACTCGTGCATATGCACTGTATTATTATGACTTATTCCACATCCTACTGTCCTCTAACATGAATCCATTGCATGTACATGTGTGTGTATGTGAGTGGATGGGCGCTGATTCCAGTGGAGGACACAGATGTTTGAGAATCATTACAATGATGTTAGTTAAGTCCATCTGGAGAAGAGTATGAAAACTTTCTATACTGAAAAGCATTGTACTAAAATTCTTCAAAAATACCTACATTTACATGCTGGTACAGGCCCTGGAGATAAATGACCACCCAAAATGCATGCAGTTCATAATGACTGCACTGATAGAAGAGTACCTAATGTCCACTGGCCACAAGAAAATCCCTGCGGGGGGAAGTCGGTTCTGGTGCGGTGCAGGGGGAATGTTTCTTATCAGGTGGACTAGAGGGCTGCTATTGGTGGGAAGGGTGACACGCCATAGTTTTATACTACTAAACACAGACTAAAAACATCAAGCAGTTAAGAGTAACGTGTAGTGTGTGCACCTGTGATGTGTTCTGTGGGTGTTGTGATAATATTCTAGATTAACTCACTGTTCCAACACAGACTAAAAACATCAAGCAGTTAAGAGTAACGTGTAGTGTGTGCACCTGTGATGTGTTCTGTGGGTGTTGTGATAATATTCTAGATTAACTCACTGTTCCAACGTGAGGTAATATTAAAGTTATACCCATTAGAACACATGAAAGCCGGTTGTCTGTTGTTCATTCAGTGGTTGTGGAACGAATGCTTTTAGGATGGGTCGTCACTCACCGCGAAATCTTGCGCATGCATGTATATCAAATTCCTAGCAGGGATTTTCTCCTGGTCTGCGTACTGTACATAAAACAGTTTTTCAAGAGATAAAAAGCCATCCTGTTACGTGCCATGCAGGCACAAAGGGGATAGGTGCCATAGCTCCTACACATTCTCAACCTCGGCATTGGTCAGAATCAAGCCCCAGCCATGCATTACCCCCAGGGAAAGGGCCCCTAGTATCCACTGGACAGGAGGCTGGGTGGGACCCAGAGCCAGTCTGAATGCAGAGGTTAGAAGAAAATTCCCTACCCCTGTCGGGGATCAGACCCCAATTGTCCGGCCTGTGGTCAGTCACTATACTTACTGAGCTACCCGACTCTAGGAGTAAATACGTAGAGTGGTGAGATAAATTTCCAAAAAAGTGGCCAAGTTAATAATAGGTTCAGTGTTATGTTCTGTGATTCATAGAATCCACATACAACCCAGGAAATTAAAAGATTAGTACAAAATTGAATGCTTCAGGCCCATGCAATAGCATGTTAAGACACTAATAAACCTGGGGACTTGCTGCATTTATTCTTATATAGCACTTCTGGCACAAAAGTTACCATATTTCAAATGGGTGGTTCTATTTGTAAACATCAATAAATTAAATATTCTATGACCACTGTTTTTACTAATTAACAAGTTATAATCAGAACGGTCTTATAGCAAAAACTACTGAATAAATTAACATGCCTGCAGAAGAAACGTATTCCCACCAACATTGCTCTTAAAACATTAAAACTGCTATGTATGCATGTAAATATATATAGTGAACCCTCTGTCCAATGCAGGGGATAGTCTGTGAAACTGCACTGGACAAAATTAATATTGTTTGGGATAATGGGATATGGGAATGTGGCCACTGAAAGTCAAAGTAAATACAACAAATCAAATTATTTTGTACCGATATTTATGAAGACACTGTAATGTAACAAAGTACCACTGGAAAGCTAAGCATTAAAGCTAATAAGGAACAGAAAGTTTGCCTTCAAAATAAAATATCAACGGAATGTTATGTCAACTGCTGATGCACTCATACCACCAGTAACAGCGAAGTGAGAATGAGACTGCGGGTTATATGCAGTTTGGTAAGATACAGCGGGAGGTGAAAGACGCACAAAGAAGAAATTGCTGAATGACAGATGAGATAAATATTGACACTCCTACATACGTTGAATAAAACAAATCAAGTTGGTGAAACAAATGCATACACAAAATCGAAACAACCTTTAGCTTTTTAAACTCACGCAGTACTTTTTCATTTACCACTACAGCACATTTGGCAGATCACACAAAATAAAATTGTTGGCACAAACAAATAACTGTTTACATCTATTTTCACACACATAATGTATTTGTGTTGGACATAATCCATATTGGGGAGGGTTTGCTATATATGCGTCCATTTGTACTTGTGTATGTGTCTGTACTTGACTATGTATATGTGTGCATGTAAGTGAATATGTTTGAACACACACAAATATATGCTGTACTATTTTCTGGTGGTAAACACCTGTATACAGCAACTTTTGTTTAAAATATAATTCATTAACATACGTTAAAATGGTCAGACATAACATCAGAATACAGCCACCTTACTTTCTAGGCAAGGAAGTGTGTGTGTATGCATGAGATTTTAAGTTATTTAATAACAATTCCGACTACAGAGCATCAAATGACATTGTGAAAATATGATGAACTGTTACTCTGTAAGAATCTGGAAGAAGTTGGTCACAGTCTGTTTCAAAGTACCACCTGACATTTGCCTGGAGTTTATGAAGACAATTTTTTAGTCAGATCACAAACAAGATTATAAGTACAATGCTGCTGCTACAGTAACCAATCTGTTTTGTTTGTTTGTATGCATGCTAAGCAATTTTTTTAAAATAAAAGATATCAGTACCTTTTTTCATGACTCATCAGAGAGAAGGTTCAACTGATGAGAGAAAAAAATAATGGTCTTAAATAGTTTGGTAGTGGACAACAAAAGATATAAAACCTACCCATGCTAGACACTCCAAATCTCCATCATGTTTTCAGTGGTTTTATCGTCTCAAATTTGTTTGCTTTGTGTAGCTGTTGCAGAATGTCATCGGAAAGGTTCCACGACTGCACATATTTTGTTCAAACTGAGTAAGAGGGGGCATAACAATTCTGATAAACAACAGTGTCAAGAAAGTGTTATTAAACAAAGAATATTTTGATGGAGTCACTGAGATTCTTCAATAAAAAGCCCTTACATTGATGAAATGATAGGAACAGTATCGAGAGAACTTTCTAATGGTAACAATTCCTCTGGGGTTTTCTGTCATTCTGATATTCTTGTACCACCATGTAGTCTGGTAGAAAATGACCAACATTTCAGAGTACTCATCACCCTGTTGATAAACCTCTGAAACATTGGTAAACTTCTACCAGACTACATGGCACATAAACCACATGTCTCTCATTCAGTCAAAGTCTTCTGGATAAATTTCTGATTCCTTCCATACTATCTACATCTTCTGGTCACTGTTTAGGATCTCGTATGTGGGCCCATTTCACTAAATTGACTCCATCATCTAACAGTCTCTTTGCTATAGACATCTTCAAGTTTACATATGGGCATTTTTCAATGGACGGCAATTCCTTTAACGGCGATACAATTTGCTGCATAAGTAACATTTTCGTAACATGGTTCATAGCATTTTTTTTTAAACATTTTAACATTATTTTGTATCTTTTTACAAGGTCCATGTCATGTCCTCAGAGTAGAACACACATCAATTCCAAATCCAGGATAAATTCAAATAAAGTAGTAGATGTATATATCTCTCTTTCTTGTTTGTGCTGCAATTATTTTTAGCTTCAACAAAATAAAACACTAATGTTTCAAAATCTTCCCACACTGCAGAAAGTGGACTGAAATTATTAGTTGCTAACTCTGTGGTTAAAATTCTTATTGCAATAGCTTTAGTTCTGGTAATTTTGCACAAACATGTAGTTCTCTGTTCATTTTTAATGAACCCATGTTGACAACAATACGTTCTTGTACATTAATTTAATCTTA